CCTACACCAAACACCCTGTATATTTAAAAATTATATCAAAATATAGCTCTCATGAACTCCTAAAACTTTTGTATGAAACATTTTTGTGTATCTCCTTCAACAAACCAGATATTGCTTGTCACATAAAATGTGGGACACCCGGTATACAGATATATTGCTGTAGATTCTTTTATTTCTGGCTAGACTATAGTATAATTTTCGTAAGCCACTGCAAGAGATATATTAAGGCAAAAACGTCACAATCAATTTTGAGAATTTAGTGCCTTCTGTTTTGGAATTATATTATAGTACAAAATATAAAATCAATACCGAAGAAATATCTCGTTATTAACGGATTTCATAAATATTTACTTTGAGCAGAAAATATTTCTAAGTGCCTCCTTAATTTATCAAAAACTATTGTTTTTTTACATTGACTGAATATTTGTATCAATAGTATATCTAATAATATTCAAAGAAAGTGGGTTAACCACTAAAATAAACGATAACGACTTTCACTCACTTTAATATGATTGTAACAGTTTTACTACAATCCTCCCGTTTCATATTTGGTTATCAACCATTTGTAAATATCTACAATGGATACCGATTCCACGAATGTTGAGATAGCCAGTCTCTCGAAAGAACTGTGTAAAGTCCCGATTTTAAAACATGTCGCAGGTCGTGAACTCTGCGGAGATATGAAAGATTATATCGTAGTTGGTGGGGTTGATCATCGTAAAATGTGAAGTACCTTCTACTGAGATCTTGTAATTTCAGAGATAGGGGGTATAAATGGCAAAGGAACAGCCAAAAGAACTGTAGTTCAAGTTCAGCATCGACAAATAGACGGTCTGGAAGATTATTAGAAGAATTATAAAGGTAATTATATTATTTTGTACATTATCAAATGATATCTTTGAAACAATATCTGGTGATTTATAATCTTTATAATTCGATTCAATCATTGCAATCCTGAAAAATATATTGTACAATTACAAAATTTCCATTTTCATTCCAAATCTTCATAAATTTCATGAATGTACTAATGAAACTATGTAATTTGACAAATATACATCTGTCAATAAACACTGTCAGTCGTGATTTTTGTCGAAGTATTCAGGATGATTTCGTAAGAAGGACATTCAATAGTTAGCTATGGGAACCTTTTCAAATACCTGTTTAGAATTTGTAACTGATCTGAAGTTTAATTTTCAATGTTCATTTGACTTTTTTATTTTCAAATCACCTTTGATATGAAAAGTTAATTGAAAAATCCTTTCCAATAACTGCCACCTGTTACAATAAATGAGAGTAGTTCTAGGCATGGAAGGAGGTTGAACAAAAAATACCTGAAATATTTTGGATAGAAGTTTTTTAGACAAAAATACTTTTTGAGGAAGTATAATCTATTTTAATTCATGAGACAAACAATATCAAAGCAGTACATATCTTAAGGCTAATATAATGAAAATAATGCTAAATAGCATTCACTAGAAATTGATGTCTTTTCAAATTATTGGGGTCCATTCAATCTAATTATATATTTATAATCATTAGATATTACTGTATTCAAATACAATAAATCATTTTGGACATATGCAGGCCAAAAATAATTTTATTTCCAGAATTTTTCTATTTTCTTTTCGCTAATAATTCGTACCAAATCCTTAATTTCAATTCAAATCTATTTGATGAACATTTTTAGTAAACTGATAGGAGATCAGATTGGCTTGAAATAGTAGGTTGAATGATTTCTCGAAATATATCTCTATTTTACTATGGCTTTTGTTATCTGAATATGTGTTTTTATATTGATTTTTTGCTTATCATGGTAGGTTTTTACATACTGATATCTTCTTTCGGAATTTTTCGGTTAAAATGTACGTATATACCCAAATAACATATCCCACTGAAGGAAAAAATGATTGACATCTACTTGTGTTAATCATTGAAAACTCCCATAAGTACTGATTATTTGGGTTTATAACCTTACACAATCTGAAAAACAGTAGAAAGTATTGAATCCCCCACAAAAAAATGTCTTTCACAAAATTGAAATTAACGTTTTGTTTCTTTTCAGATGATCGAAAAATTATTCCTATTTTTTCTGGTGTCACTCGTAACATCTTCAGAAATCGGAGACATTAGAGAAAAAAGATCACTTCAGCCAGGAGCACCAAATGTAAATATTGGAAACAAAGACCAACCATGGCAGTTCGATCCTAATGTTGCTAGAGATGAACATGGGAATGTGGTTACGGATCTCAAAATCAAAAACCACGGTGAGAATCAAGACTTTCATGCTGACTGGAACAAAGTTGTTAGGGGTCCAAGTAAAGCTAAGCCCACCTGGAACGTTGGGGGAACAATCAGATGGAGAAGGTCTCTGCAACCTGGTGCACCAAATGTAAATATTGGAAACAAAGACCAACCATGGCAGTTTGACCCCAATGTTGCTCGAGATGAACATGGGAATGTTGTTACGGATCTGAAAATCAAAAACCACGGTGAAAATCACGACTTTCATGCTGACTGGAACAAAGTTGTTAGGGGTCCAAGTAAAGCTAAGCCCACCTGGAACGTTGGAGGAACAATCAGATGGAGGAGGTCTCTCCAACCTGGTGCACCAAATGTAAATATTGGAAACAAAGATCAACCATGGCAGTTTGACCCCAATGTTGCTCGAGATGAACATGGGAATGTTGTTACGGATCTGAAAATCAAAAACCATGGTGAAAATCACGACTTTCACGGTGACTGGAACAAAGTTGTTAGGGGTCCTAGTAAAGCTAAGCCCACGTGGAACGTTGGAGGAACAATCAGATGGAGGAGGTCTCTGCAACCTGAGGCACCAAATGTAAATATTGGAGATAAAGACCAACCCTGGCAGTTTGATCCCAATGTTGCTCGAGATGAACATGGGAATGTTGTTAAGGATCTGAAAATCAAAAACCACGGTGAAAATCAAGACCTTCACGGTGACTGGAACAGAGTCGTTAGGTTAGGTTAGGTTAAGTTAGGTTAGGTTAGGGGTCCAAGTAGAGCTAAACCCACCTGGAACATTGGAGGAACATTCAGATGAAGTAGGTCTCTGCAACCTGATGCACCAAATGTAAATATTGGAAATAAAGACTAATCATGGCATTTTGATCCTAATGTTGCTCGAAATGAACATGGAAATGTCGTCACCGATTTGAAAATCAAGAACCATGGAGAAAATCACAACTTCCATGCTGACTGGAACAAGGTTGTTAGAGGTCCAAGTAAAGCTAAACCTACCTGGAATGTTGGAGGCAGCTAAAGGTGGTGATTGGTTCAGTTCATTCATTTATTCTCAATAAGTTGTCAATCTGTGATAGTCCCATATGTATTTGCAAATAAATGAGTTATTTTCATAACCTCTTTTTTATTTAATATTCACAAGTCAGGAATCTACAAATCAATTTTCTCATGAAATCAACTCGATTTTTCAATGAAACCTTCATTTCGTACTATATTTTCAAGATAGAATTTGAAATATTTGGAACGCTCTGGAAAACTTCAAAATGGATAAATGCTTACTTATCAATTTATAAATATATAAATGGTTACTTATCAATTCATAAATATATTTGTTTGTGATTTTGAAAAATCTTATGAGCTCTTTGCACTTTCATATAACTTCAATGATAAATTTCATCTTAGCGAACGAACGGTAGAAATGAATCATGATATTTATCAAAAATGCACTTTGTATGTATTCATAAACTTACTATTGCCGATGGAGCAAAGTACTATCACTCGATTAGAAACACATCGTCATCCTATATTCGGAGTAAATGTTCAATAACTTTTTCGCAGGTGAACATCAAATTACAGGTGTTATTAGTCAGGTTCATGAAATTGAGGTTAGCGATTATATGGATATACATTTTTGTTTTGAATAGGTAGAGCATGACTGATATACTGGATTTTCATTTACTCTTACTACGCAATAATGCAATTTAAATATCATATTTCAGTGAATGTCACACATTCATTTTAAATTTTGTGAGTTATATTATCACAACAGCCCGAAACCGGTCTGCAAGTGTGCCCGTTTCGAAATTGAAAGTCGACTCTTTCAGTTGTATTGCGACTTGCATATGCAGGAACTTTTCTGAGAAGATTCCTGCACTGACGCTTGTCGGATATAATCCAACGCCCTTCGTGGTATTACCCAGGGGAGTAGTTGTTTTCTGATAGGCGTTAGTCCATTCAACCTACTGTGTAGGTATATTCGAGACTGGCTTGAACGTTTGAAGTTTATTTCTTAAGATTAGTTTAGGTTTGTTTCAACATAAATCAATGATTTCTCTACTTTTGAGGTCAATAAACTGAAGAAATGTGCCAGAGACTGTGAACTCCACAGCTTTATTCATTATTTATATATTTTTCAAGTTTATAGAAACTAGAAAATTACAGAATATCCGAATAATATATTTTCAGAAAATGACTCAGTTAACTTTATGCGCATGCTGAAATAAGAGGTTTATTAAATACCCCTGTGAAATAGTCCTGAAGTAGTTTTTGTGCGATGGACCCTGCTGGTTATATTACCCCCCTACGAGCCTACGACTCCAACTGACCTCCCTGTAAAGTTAGATCAGTAGCGAGAGCTTCTTAACTCTTCAACTCCTGATTCAATAACTGAACCTAAAAAAAGGTTTAGTGGTGCAGCCAAGAAACGACTGAGTCGTCTCCTCAAGACCGAGGTACCTTATGAAACCGCCTTGTACCAAATTCTTCAGCGGCGTACGCAGAATCTGTCTGTCTGGAGGAACAAACCCCCCATGAGCAGATTAGCAAAAGTTCGCGCTCAAGTGATGATTCACCAAAACCAGAGACAAAAAAGCCCTGCATGGTTGAATCTAAGGCATCGTCAGGTTTAGCTGACGTGCAAAAACCTTACTATGGAAAGGTTGTCGCAGGTATCAAGGTGGGAATCTTGCACCTTGACTCTACGACAACCTCATCAATGATGAAACAACAGAGCATATACTTTGTGTCTGGGGACTGAATCAGGTTTTTAGAGTTCGGCAGAGCCGTACTCTTACCATCTGACCTGAAAGACCACTTACCATACAGAGTAATCGGTTTCGTTAAGAAACTGGATTTATTTGGTCGAGTGTGAATAGGTGTGAGCCATAATAAACCCTTGCGGGTTGCGGTGGAGGGTCGAAGAGACCCACTCACTTTGGACCTAACCTAACCTAATCTAGTCCTGAAGTTGAAAATGAGTTTCAGCCGCCGCAGTCAGTTGTAGGCATCTTGGACAAGTGAAAACATAAGTGGTGTGGAGTAGTTTGCCAAAAGTACAGGTACAGCTTCCATAAATCAGGTACTAATCACGATTGGAATATTTCCCAAACAAACGCCGTACAAAAAAAATGGACAGGAGAATTGAAAAAAAAGTTCATTTTCGGAAAAGTCACCTCTATACGCAATGATATGAGGTTTTTGTGAAAATAATTGAAAGTGTCATTTTTTTGTAGTGCCGTATACATTAGTACGTTAATGTGATGGTGAACCCGATGTTTGATGTCACGTTTACGGCCCGATAAACTATAATTTGTTCAGCATGGCCATATAAATGACGTTTTTTTATGTATAAAACACTGAAAACTTCCTACATGTATCTGAGTATGTATCTGACGACAGCATAATCGAACTTTGTTTAAATCTTGCTGAGTTTTATTCAATCGAAAAACCAAGAGGAAAATAATGATATATATAGAATGAACGACAAAACTAGAGCAAATTCAATAATTGTCTTGAAATTAACATCGAATTATTATTTATTGTTCACTGTAGAAAATGGTGTCTCCTAAGGTGAATATACCAAAAAAATACCGAGAGTCAGTGGTATATTCTTTTTTGAACGGTTTCATTTAGCTTGCCCTGTTTGTTTGTTTATTTATTTATTTATGTGCGTCAAATTTAGTTGACGCACATAAACATATTCAGTTTTGATGGCAATACAATTCAAAAAATTCTGTATCATTGTTAATTCGAAATGACCGCAGCTACAAAATGGCGGATTACATATTTTTTCACAACTACCTCGAAATGTGTATCAAATGACAGGGCTCGACTGGTAGAATAGTTGTACACTTTGAAAACGATGCTAATTCAAAATGACCGCAGCTACAAAATGGTGGATCACATATTTTTTGAAAACTAGCACAATACACGTATCAAATGACAGAGCTTGACTGGTAGAATAGTAGTACACTTTGGAAACGATGCAAATTCAAGATGGCGTTAGGGTGGCTAAAAATGATACGTCTTTAGCGATAACGTTAAGGTGAAAGGTTGAAACGTGCCAAGAACTGTGTGGTATTAGAGTGGATAATAATTAGAAACTAAAAACTTCAAAATAAATTAAGAAAAAATTGTATGTCAAATGGTTTGATTGAAAAATGTACTAAAAAGTAAAAATAAATCGTGAGGTCCTAGGTAGCAGTCATCACACCACTCTCCTCAGCAATCTACGTTTTTATTCAGATGAAAAAATAATAAAATCTTTGGGTGTAATATTTACAAAATTACTCAGGTTACGCTATGAGCAACAATTTCATTATTTTTTTATCTGATCAATACTGTAGACCGTAGATTGATGAGGAAAGTGGTGTGATGACTGCTACAAAACAGGTTTTGAATCACAGATGGCGACTTTGTAAGAGGATATATGCATAATAATTATACTCATGTTTGTTTTTTAAGTACACTTGAGTGCTTATTAAAGATAAACAATCACCCCCTCGTTTTATTTCTATGAGCATGATTTCAGTTTTCTGTATATTCAATTATATCCATAGATGACTTCTTCGTGAGAGGGGATGTCTTGGCTCACTTATACTAATTTATTATATGAAATATTGTTAAGAATATACAGACATCAAAGAAAGTAAGTTATAATCAAAAACTAGAAGGAATTAGTTAACTAACTTAACGAAGCCGATACTTGATGTAGTTTTGATAATTAACGTGCTACTTTCCTTAATAGAACATATTTCAAACCAAAATGCATGCACTCACTAAAAACATTTTAACGTGTTTAGCCCCTTTTAATAATTTTCTAATAATGCCAGATACTTGATGAAAATCCATAACGTATTTAAGTTACACCTCGTTTTGTGAGATTTTCATTGAACAGTTTACGAAACTGCAAATCATTTTTCACGTTTGTCAGATCGAGAATGTCAGTAGTTCTTTTCAAATGATTCGCCAAAACTATAAATGTCGAATTTTGTTCGTTTTGAAAATCTGCCAAGAAACGATAAGTATCATAATTTCTGTTCAGAACTCAGTCAAGTTTATCCAAATGAATATTGAAAATGTCAACCATTCACTTCCTTGCGATAATAGAGTTTCCTAAAACTCATTTTTTACATTATGGATTGCTTCTGAAGTAATTTAGTTAGAAGCACCTCTTATTCAATCCATGACCTCTGAAATAGACTGTGATTGTGAAACGTATACTTTAGAGTTGACGAAGTTTTACAAAAAATCTAACAGCGTCATATAAGGTGGGCTAGCGGGCCAATCTAAGATACTAGAATGTTTAACTGTCTACTTGTTTTTTACTTGTCATATAGTCACTTTTGAATCAAACTGCCATAATGAAGAGATCTGAAACTACATTCGTAGCAAATTTATCTAAATCAATTATGGCCAACTAGATTACCTGATATGATGCCTATAGATGTGTTCGAAGGAATTCCTGACATCTCAAATGTACGGGATACAACCGCCGTTCATTTCAGTGGATAGAAAAATTTGTACTTGCAATTAAATCACCACAGGAACATTCCATAATATGATTAATGAATTTCTACACTTCAATATGAGAGCTTACAAAATTGCTACACGTGTTTCGCTATACGACAGCGTCTCTGGGCGTCACAATACTGTGTCGTGTCAAATTCTGTGTCGTGCTTTTATAGTAATTTGAATTATTATGAGTATTAATTCTTGCCAAATATCTACATGATTAATTCATTACCTAAGCTATGTACCTAGTTACTACCTAGTTTTAGCTGAGCTATCATTAAACCTACTTTTGAGATCTGTCCTAATTACCAATTTCCTCGTTGCCAACTAAATTCAATAAGGAAAATTTCAAATATATTTGATCATCGACCAATAATCACGAATTTTTACATCTATTGATTTCTGAACATTTCAAAAGGTTGAGTTTTGAACCTTTCTCTCAAAAATGCAATACGTCATAATCGTGCCACTATGTCAAAATGTTGGATTGGTCTTTCCATTCAAAAAACTACTTTTATGCTCTTTTATTTTTTTTTAGAAAGTTCTTCCGTTTTGTCCGATATAAAATTGGGGACAAGAACCACAAGTCAACTTGTATACTCCCTATCTATTCGACACTATTTTATTGTTTTGAATTGATTTACTCAAAAAAATTTCTGTTCTGTAGGCTACGTCTAATTTTTTGCCTTTCAAAAAACGAAACATATTATTAGTAGGACCACCAAAGTGAGTTAGTAATGTTTAGTATCGTTCTGTGAAACCGGATAGATCGGTTTAGAGTTTGTTTCTGCATTTTTTTAGCAATAAATGAGTAAATAATATCCACCTCGTAACCGTTGTTGGCAACAGTATATTTGATGACAATTATATCTCTTCGAAAAATGCTTTATGGAAGTAGAATATTCAATAGTTACTTTCTGACTTTGCTTGAATTTTATACATCAACTTTAATATTATGTTCTGTTAAAAAATCAAGACAGGCCTTTTACTACCGCACTGTATAGTTCAAGACCTTGAACTAGTTCTGAAGTTGCAACATGATTGTCTAGGTTTCATATTCATCATATTTACTGCATTCGATAAAGTATTTATAATATCCACACCATACTTCATCTCGCATATTTCCAATGAGTTAGTTTTTCAGAGTAAAATACACTACAAATTGAATAATAATAACCTTCAAACGTTTGGATGAAGCGCAAATTATCAAATTTTCTCTAATGAGGACTCCATTTATGACTTTTGGTAATCAACCATTCATAAATATCAATAAAGATAGCGGTTCTAAGAATGTTGAAATAAAAATGTTTCGAAACAGAGTGAAACCCCGACTACAGAACCAGCTGTTTATTGTTTCCAGTATAAAGTAAATTACCTTCTGAAATAATTGTGTACTTTTGGACTTGTTGGATATAAAATAGTTGCAGATGAAAATACAATTCAGTTCACGTTTCTCATTGACAAGTAGCAGCCTTGGCAAATAGAGAGCAGTACTTAGAAGGTGATTATTTTTTTTGTTTCTTATAAACTCATGATCATTTCTATACCATTGAATCTATTGATTGATTTTTTACCTACCACACATATTTGTGGAAATTATACTATGACTAAAAATGGAAATGTTGGTTGAATTTCCCTTCCAAAATATATTTTTCAACAACTTGAAAATATTACTTGGAAAACTAAACTTCCTTCGATAATTAATAGGTAAAGAACCAAATATTCATGATTTCATTAATCAAATCGATATTAAAAAATCGATTATTTGGTGAGATTCGAGAAAGAAAATTACCACATTCTGTATCGGATAAGATTATTGTGCAAATATTCATAAATTGACAAATTGTATTCTCCTATTTTTTCCAGATGTTTGTCAAATTGTCACTGATACTTTTGATCTCTCTCGTATCATCAGAAGAAACTGATGACCGGCAAAAAAGATCATTGCAACCAGGCGCACCAAATGTAAATATTGGAAACAAAGACCAACCCTGGCAGTTTGATCCCAATGTTGCTCGAGATGAACATGGAAATGTCGTCACCGACTTGAAAATCAAAAACCATGGAGAAAATCACGATTTTCACGCTGGATGGAACAAAGTCGTTAGGGGTCCAAGTAGAGCTAAGCCCACTTGGAATGTTGGGGGTACTTTCAGATGGTAGTTTATGTAGTTCAGTAATTTATTTTTAGTAACTTATAATACTGTGATAGTGCCATATTTTTTCTAAAATAAATATTTTTCCGTACTTGCCCATTTTTAACTTCAAACCATCCTGAGACCCTCTAAAAATGAAAGTGTGATCCAATTCATCAATTACTATTTGTGTTGTTCTAGAAGTTACTTTTATTCCTAGGCCTGAGTCTGGCCTATTGATCATCTCAGTGAATTTTATGCATTTTCACTTGATATTGACAATTACTTTCTCCATTCTCAGAATAATGACATTTCTGAAGTTTCATCATAAACAGTTTCATTTTGTTCTAATATACTTAATTATCATTTGCTCTTAATAAAATTAAATAAACTTGTATATGTCTGTGAATACATAATGTATAATTAAAATGAATAAATAATTTTTATAGAAAACAACTAGTTACAAATTCACTGCGAATCAAATTATCACTATCATAGCAGGTGAATGTTTGAATTTTAATTCGAAATTTTTATTATCTCAGTAAATTTGTATCTCTCCTCGATACAGTTTCCATACTAATTTTTTTCAGCAGATAAACTTTCATAACAAGTGATAACTCTTAAACATAATAAATTAAATCTCATCCGATTATTTTATAATATGGTAAACTCACCATCATAATTTTGTAAACCTACCATCATGAACTGCTTGCTCTTAAGGTAATCAACACCCCCGTCCGTCATTAGTAAAGCTCTGTTTGAGAAATAAGTGAGCCAAAGACAAACGAATGCCATTAAGCACGTAAAACACGTAAAATTCATTGAGAAATATAGCGCAGACATCTTAGAGCCTCTGATAAACTCTTTAAGCTCCTTCACTAGATTCATTTTCATGTGGTTCAATCTGTTTTTTATTCCAATTGTTTTGGAGGCAGAACAGTTCAGCCAACAAATATTAATGATTTTATTTAGGTAATTTTATAATCATTTTCGAAATTGCCTAATATTATAAATTTAAATATCAAGTATCTGGGAAACTATGAGAATTTGGAGAATTTGGAAAGTTGTAAAAATCCTATAAAAGTGTTATTGTTATACTGTACATTTCTTTTTCAAATAATAAGGTCGTAGGATTGGTACAAAGGAGTCACAAATATGTTTAGAATGTGGTCCATCAAGAGGAAATCAAGAATCATGGGACTTGGATAATCACCCAAGTAAAAAACATATATGAATCTTCGTGAATCCGCGAAGACAGTAGAATATTCAATGAAGAGAAAACAAATGAGGAATACCAGAGGCCTTCTGAACCAACATAACATCGGATAGTCTGGAGACGAGGGCATCCATGAGGAAACAACTGTTGCATTAACTCAAAAAATAGTATTTAGAACAATTTTTTGGCTTTATTATCAACATTCCATTTCATTCACCAATCTGAATTCGATCCAAGACAAACCATTTTTTCGTATTTCGTAGTGGTAGAATCTTTCAAGCAGTATTCTGTTATAAGCATTTTGAAATCGATGGATATGCTGAGGTACAAAATCTGCTTAACGCTGGTCTATATAATTCATTTTTCAAGTGAACATAATTTGAAATTTATTCCTAATAAAACAATGACGATGCATTTTGGATCGCAGAAAAATCCAAAATTTGCCGAAAACAACTTTCAATTAGAACTAAGTCATACTATCTTGATTCCTGTCACCTAAAAAAGAAATTGCAATCATCTTTATTTTGAGCCAATTTCTATAAAATATACTTTGTAATAGTTTGGTGTTAAGCCACTTCAACTACTATGATTTCATATATGTTCCATTATTATATGATTCAGATTTCGCTGGCTGAATATGAAAAACCGCAAGATTCATCATTTGGGTTATTTTGTTCATAAGTTGATTACCTACTCTTCCTCACTTGCCCCTTTCAGTTTCAAGCACAACAGGAAAATCCTTAAGGCGCTCTGAGAGTGGTGCCTGAGCGAAAGTAGCGATTCACATTGGATTTGAATCGCTGCGTGAAGATATCCACTTGCTGAATATTAGAAAGAAAAACACAGTTTCAGAGATCATTACTTTTCGGTGCTGTGAAACTATAATTCATTGTCTAAGTAATTGATGAGATTCAAAATCAGGAAATTTAGATAGAAATATAAAAATTATATCTATGACAGTCAGTAATATCAATTTTTGTTATTGGACAAACATATCAATTTGATTTATCAACTCTTTAGGGGATAATCACCAATTAACATTTTTCTTTATTTTTTCTATGCCGTGGTACCATCACCGTCAAGAAACTTAAAAAAGTAGAATTGAAACGGAATAGCTGAAAATAACAATCATATTAGGCAAAAAAGCTTAAAATGAAATAACAGTGAAATGAAATACATGTAAAAATAGAACAATTGAACAAAAATTAAAAATACACATAAAAAGTTAAGAGATTCCAAGCCAAGTTACTTGAATTTCAAGAAATGAAATAAAAAAGAATACTTGGTGGATAGTGAAATAAGCAATAATGAGCTGGCAACAAAATTTTAGGGCAGTTTTCCTTTAATTTATGCTCTTGTTAACTAATAATTTTCCTTAGTGAAAAATGCACATAAAGACCTTTACATCTGAATTGTAACTGAAGTAACTTGGCTTGTAATCTTTTAACTTTTTATTTTTAATTTTTGTTCAATTTATCTATTTTTACTTGTATTTTATTTCACTTTTATTTAATTTCAGGTTCTTTGCTTAATATAATTATTGTTTTCAGCTATTCTTTTTTAATTCTTTATGTTTCTGATTATCTATTGTCAGCTTTATTCAATCTCTTATTAAACCACTATTTTTGCCCTTTGTTATCGACAACCTGGGTATTTTCTCATAGTTGTTATAGTAAGCTTGGAGTAAAATGTTATTCATTAAATTATTCCTTTCGAAAATTCATAATTCAGATCAGAAATGAAAATGTCACCTCATAAATTGCTTGCTTCAATAGCTATAGTTAATTTCAAATAATTTTCCGATAAATTAAAAAAAACACACAAACAAAAAGATAAATTTCAAGCCTAAATTTAGTATAAATAATTCTTATCAATTAGTGGATAATATTAAAGACGTAATCCTCCCAGATAACTCAAAATTAATATCGTTCGATGTCCAAAATTTATTTCCCAGCATCCCGCCAACTGAAACAATTGGACTAGTGGAGTGTCTCTTAGACAAAAACCACGTGAATCCACTGATAAAACAGGAGATTGTTGATTTACTCACCATTTGTGTGTCTCAAAATTATTTCCAGTTTGACGGAGAATTCTTTTCATGCAATGAAGGACTAATAATCGGGAATCCTTTGAGTCCCTTACTGGCGGAAATTTTAATGGATAACATAGAGTATGAAATCCATAATAATCAGTTAGCCAACAATTTTTTGTACTGGTACAGATACGTAGATGATATCTTAGTATGTTTTACTGGTACAGATAGGCAATTAGGCAAGTTCATTGAATATGCCAATTCCATCCACCCGTCAATAAAATTCACCACTGAGAGGGAGGTAAATAATTCAATAAATTACCTGGACTTAACCATTACGAAAAATAACAATAAACATGAGTTTGCAATTTTCCACAAACCATCGTACACGGACATTATCATACATAATTCCTCCACACACCCGTACCAGCATAAAGTTGCTGCATTCAATAGTATGCTTCACAGATTATTGAATATTCCACTGTCTGATAGGGATTTCCAGAAAGAGCTGAATTTGATCAAACAAATCGCGATTAATAACGGTTATAAGGTAGATATTGTAAACTCCATTCTTTCCAAAAAACGACAAAAGCAAGCCATGGATCTGGTCTACCCATATTCAAGATGCGATAACGTTAGTTATAAGACATTGACATATGTGGGGGAACCAAACAGGAATATTGCCCGTTTTTTGAAGAAAGAAGGCGTAAACGTAGCTTATAGAACGAATAATAACCTAAGTAAATTTATTAAAAACAATAAGGACAAAACTTTGGTGTCGGATAGATCAGGAGTATATAAGCTGACTTGTGGCTCTTGTCCAAAACTGTATATTGGCCAAACAGGAAGAACATTCCTCCAACGAATTAAAGAACATAGGAGTAGTTTTGTAAATAGAAAGACCAATTCCACATTTGAAAACCATCTTTTAGCAGAAGGACATGAGTTCAATCATGAGTACGAGGTGTTACATTTAGAAGAAAAGAGTTTGAAACTCAATCTTCTAGAATGTTTAGAAATCAATAGATTCAGGAATTCGGTTAATTTACTGAATGATCAATTAGAACTCAATAACTCTCCGTTACTGAATATATTTTTTCAAATGTGAAAATGGAACATAAGTGCAGGTAATTTAATTCGTTAGAAACTCATATCAGCTACTTAAAATCCAGGTACTTCGTTTACAGGTACTTTGATTTCAGGTACTCCATAAACTATATATATATTTAGTATGGAATGTGTAGAATTAGTTGAAAGACACGCCAGATGAAGCCATTGTATGGCGAAACACGTGTTGCGTTTTTGTAAAACAATTTAGTGAAAATCTCACAATAAAGTGTTTTTGGAATACGTTCAAAAAGATAACCCCAATCGGAAAAATTTCTATTTCAGGTACTCAAATTTGCAACTAATATTTGAAAGAATGATCTGATAATCAAGAATTCTAACAGGTGTTTATAGATTTTCAAGTCTACTTCACAAATGCCATTTAATTTCAATTTACCTCATCTAGTGTTATTCGATTCGTATTTTAACACAGAGGACTATTGCAGATATTCGAAATATGAAAAAATATCTTTAAAGAGCAAAACTATTTTAAAACAGTCTTCCTCTGGAAACTTCAGCACCAATATTTATAGTTTCAATTGAGCGGTAAATGTACGTGAGAAAACGCGACGCTTGACTTCGCGCATCAAGAAAAAATAGTACTTGAAATTTCAACTCATTAAATATGAATATCAAGAAATGAAAAAAAATGAATACTTGGTGGATAGTGAAATGAAAAGTAATGAGCTGGCAATAAAATTTTTGGACAGTTTTCCTCTCATTTATGCTTTTATTGATTGATAATTATCCTTAGTGA